TAAATATTCTTTTCTTAAACACTTTTTTTTGAATAAGATTCTGTTTAATAAGATATAACTTTTTTAAAAAAAGAAAAATACAATAATTAATAACTTCATGGAGAAGGGAAAAAATTTGTTTCAAGAATTTTTAAAATTAATGGTCGAGATTTAAGATAATTATCTTGTTAACAATTTAAACTGTCTCTGTCAGCTAAAACTTTTACGCATGAAGAACTTTTTCTAAAAATAAACACTATTTCTTTCACAGAGTGGTCTGATGATTAAAAGTATTTTGCAAACTTGTATCAGTTTTAACATAAGAAGACAAAGACAAATCTATATTTTCGCGATGGTGTACTGGCAAATAAGCTGCTTGACACTGCACATTGACTTTCGCGCTTTTATAAATTTAAATCGTGAGCTGAAGAAATTGCTCATTATTTTGCGCATTTGCTCCCGTGGTCCTACACCTGGTGCATCTTTGAAAATTTCTTTTCTTGTCACAATAAGAAAATATTTTGTTGCCAAGATGCGTATAGAAGAAAGAGAAGACATAATGAAAAGCAATGGAATAAGAATGCAGAGGGTTTAAGTGCCTACTAAGAATTTAAATTCACGCCACGGTCGTTTAATTTCCGCTTTTCACGAGCGATTCTAAGAAATTAATACCTGACGAATCTATCAAGTACTAAATTAAGTCATTTGGTTTTTAAGTCAATTTAATTTGATTTTTTAACGTTAATTATTTAATGCATTTTGCATGTCTCTATACAATATACAATCGTTATGATATAAAGCTGATAAACGAATAAATTTACTGTGCTGCAATACAAATGCTTTATTTTAATTTTGGAAATATGTACATGGCTATCAATATTCATGTTATTTATATCAATATTCTGCGGCATGTATTTTGGAATGAGATAAAAAGGACATGAACGAATATTACGAATAAGTAAATTCTTAAATTTAAAAAAATTACCTAATTAACCTAGTTGCGAGCTAAAATTTTCTGAATCTGTTTCTCCCCTAATGGAAGTCTGTCCTTTCTGAGCCCATTATACAGCACAATTCAGGGATGAATCGTAAGTGAATATTCTGCTAAAAGCATAGACAAAACTAAAAGCTTTAGCAAAAAGTGTGCATGAAATAGCATTCGCATTCAAAGATATTACACTTCTCGATTTTCTCTACATTTTCTCGAGAAATGACATAATATATACGTATTTATAGAAAAATTTACAAGTTTCCATATCAATTTTAATACTAATTTTAGAAAATAATTTATAAATATGCTAATATAATGTAAATGTATTATGTTCGTATACAGATGTAGGTACTTTATACATATCAGGCTCTTTTCTTTATACACGTATTATATAATACATAATTGTACTGTGCACTTTTATGTATATTTCATATAAATCGCTCGCTTATGCTTAATCGCACATTCGTAATTCGACGTGACGAGAGATATTAGCTAAGTAGCGCGCTACCGAGTTTACTTCTCAGATACTAAGGCTGTACTGCACTTACTAACAGTAATCATATTAGTGCATGTAAAGTTAAAGGCATGCTAGGAAACGCGTTCGCACGCGAGTTATGCGGCGACATAAATTTGAATATAGTTTAAGCCTGCGTTATACGCGCGACCGCACGTTGCATCGCGAATTAAGAGGGAGGGAGAGAGAGAGAGAGAGAGAGAGAGAAGAGTAAAATTAAATTCTAGCACTCATATTCGCGCTCGACGGACGTGCGCGAGGTTCTTAAAGCGAGATTGTAACGTAGTTGGTTGCACGTATACAGAACGTACCAGCGCGGGCGCGGCGGCGTAAACCTAGTTAAGCACATTCTGAGCGCCGCTGTAAAAGTGTTGTGCATCCTCGACATCGAAATCAGATCTTCTCAGAAATAAAGCGCCAAAGTTAGAGTGCCTTCCAAAACGGGGGATTTATTTCGAAGAATTACTGCACCCACTTACAGATATCGAACATATCGTGCGAATGACAACAGAAAATCAATTGACCCATATAACCAGCAAATTCGTTAAATGTGACTGTTGACTGATATATAAAGCGTTAATGTAGTCATCGCATCTGTTAATCTTGAAATATGTTTACACAGTCACAAGAATGTAAAAGTGGATAGAGTTAACTAATTATTCGCGCGCAGCTATGTTTCTTTTGTCTGTTGTCTAGATGTTACACGTGTTATTAAAGAGGGCTATATAGAAAAGAAATTTTTCTGATTGGAGAAAGACAAATTCCATCTATATTTCTGATTAGAAATAGAAAAAAATAGTATTAACATTAAAATTAATATCAAGTTGCGACAAAATGCAAAAGCATTGAAATGAAGAATCCGCTTTTCTTTGTTTCAGCTATCGGAGGACATCGGGTATGTCCTTTACTCTGCTCTGGGCAGCTTTTACATCCCATCCTGCATCATGGTCTTTGTGTACATACGTATATACTTCGCTGCCAAGGCACGCGCGCGTCGCGGCATCCGGAAGCAGCCCCGTCCACGTGTGGTACCGCCGGAATCGCCTGACATCAGGCAGACCAGTTTCACTCAGAGCACACCGGCAACCGACACTAAGAAGCCTCCAGGATCAGTTATGGAAAATGTTGCCACGATCGAGAACCAGCCGGTTCAGATACCGATTGTCACATGTGACTTCGCTAGTGACGTCAGCACGTCGGAAGCTGATCCTGGCGGAGGCACTAGTATACCGATGGAAGAGAAGGATACGCTGAAGGTAGAATTTCTAATCATTTCTACAATATTTCTGCGATGGATATTTCTGCGACTCGAAATTTGAAATAAAATTAATAATCAGGAAATATATACATGAATTATTATTAGTCTATGTAGTAGATATTGTAGTTTCAGAAAAAAAGTTTATTTTTCGAAATATTATAAAAGTATTGTAGTATTTCGTGTCTCGAAATCATTATACTTTGCGCGGTATTTATTATAGTTCCAGAAATTTTTTCATACGAGACTTACGAGATGCCTTTGCGATGGGCGCTTCCAACTTAATCTCTAATAGAATAATTAACTTTAGAGTGTGTAACTCTTTCTCAATATTATGATTTTGAATTACGATTGACGGCTTTAGTAAGTAGCAATCTCAAATTTAGTATCTATTAAACTATGTTACTTTTATTTGTAATATATAATCACGTAATTAATATGCAAGATCTGATAAATATACATTAAAAATATGTCAAAGAAATGTTCGAATTTAGAGAATATCTTCCTTATTTTTTTTTTTTTTCTTATATGGACATTCCAACATCATTCACCGTTACTTTCATCACATATCCCTAATATATCGTATGAACCGTAAAAATAGAACCAGAGTAAATCTTCGGAATCAGATATTTCGTATTGGAATACAGTTCGTAGAGCTGAATTGGACAAAGATCCCAGCGAAAGAGGGTACAATACGGTATCACTATCGCGGATCAGGATATGCGATTAATCGATCTAAATACGAATGTCTCTTGTCATATTCCATCAGATTGTAGTCTTTCATCGCTTTTCGTAAACTATACATCGATATCTTGATAAATTGAAACTCGTATCGAGAATATTCTACCGATGACAATCGTATTGCTTTACGTCAAACATTATAAAATTAATATATGACACGCACACGCACGCATTCTCTCTCTCTCTCTCTCTCTCTCTCTCCTCTCTTTGACGACATGGAGATATTCTCCATGTCGAGATACGTCAGTCAATAGTCAGACATGTACATACGTACGTATGTATATGCGCTTATATGCGATGATAGGTTAGATTTGGTTTATAATTACGCAAAGTTGCTAATGCATTAGCAACTTTGCGTAATTATAAACCAAATCTAACCTATCATCGCATATAAGCGCATATACATACGTACGTATGTATATGCGCTTATATGCGATGATAGGTTAGATTTGGTTTATAATTACGCAAAGTTGCTAATGCATTAGCAACTTTGCGTAATTATAAACCAAATCTAACCTATCATCGCATATAAGCGCATATACATACGTACGTATGTATATGCGCTTATATGCGATGATAGGTTAGATTTGGTTTATAATTACGCAAAGTTGCTAATGCATTAGCAACTTTGCGTAATTATAAACCAAATCTAACCTATCATCGCATATAAGCGCATATACATACGTACGTATGTATATGCGCTTATATGCGATGATAGGTTAGATTTGGTTTATAATTACGCAAAGTTGCTAATGCATTAGCAACTTTATCGACACTCTATTGAGTAATATTTATATGGGATAACTCGTATTACGGCAAATGAATATGCATCGCTTCCAATCCAATAAAAAACATGAACCGTTTCGCATATCCGTTTTGTATCATTCAACAGTATAGCTTTTAAACTGCATAAAGCATTCCCTTATGTCGATACATTGCGGAGAATAAATCGCTATTTGTGTTAAGCATTAAATCTCGTTGCAAAAGAAGATTGGACTCCATTCGTTTGTCAAGATTATGCAGCGGTGAACACCGAGGAAAATTCGTACCACTGAGCGAAGTCGGATTTGTAATTTCGTACGAAAATACAGTTTTATACCGAGACAGGGAGATAATTGCACGGGGATGAGTTTCCCATTTCGACTGTCTCGCAATTACACGAATTCTCATTCAAACTTGAGCGCAAGAACACCCGCCTTTGTTACCTCGGGCTTCGCATATAACAGCTGCATGTCAAAGAGTCTCGTGATAATCTTGCCCATTCGTATGAAAATCATACGTCGCATGTACATAAGAATAGATGCACGTAACGTGCAATTTTATTAGATTTCTGAGATTTAAAGAAATTCACATGTGGGACTCTCTGATTAATTTTAACAAAGAGAGGAGAGTTAGGAGATGAATAAATTTCCTCTTGATTTCACAATTCAGAAAATATTACAACACCGATAAAATATTATAATATTCCATTACGTTTATCGTGTTTTAATAAATTTCCATATCATCTAACTTTTATTTCGCATAAAAATTCAAAATATGATTGTTGAGAAATTTTTTATGGGAATTTTTTACTTTCACGGTGAATTAATTTTCAACGTGTTTCACAAATTTACTACATATTCAAAATCTTATCTCAAAAACTAACAGTTTGTAATATTGCGCATCCAGAAAGTTGCAAAGAACCTGTTCTGGCAAAGTAATATGCCCACGCAGCGCTGACAGTGCTGATACGGCGACTGTTATATCGCATATATGCACGTGCATAAAATGTGCAGCGATTACTTGATGATTGCCTACTTAAGTTTAATTTTTAATAGACGCTAAATTTACCTCAAGCGAGAGATAATTTTCCATTCAACTTTCTTAAATAAAAATACTTATTTGTACGAGTAATTTAAAATATCAGATATATATATATAAAAGAAAGAAATGACTTTAGAAATTGAAAAGTCGATGTTTAATTGTTATACTTATACAGGGTAACCGTGTACTTTGTCGCAGGTGAGTATACCGATACCGGCGCAGAAGAGCAACCTGAAAGCGACCCTGTCGGTGAACGGAGACGGGCAGACAGGAGGTCAGAAAGTGCCGGCATCAGCATCGGCATCGGCGACGGCGGTGGCGGCGGCAGCGGCAGCGGCGGTGGCGGCGCGATGCCGAGCGCCCAGCGTTGGCATCGACGTTGACATGGTGTCCGAGTTTGATCCCTCGTCGTCGGATAGTGGCGTGGTGTCGAGATGCGCGGTGGTAAAACCACTCAAGCTGCGACTGTGCCAGCCGATCTTCGGGCGCAAGCACGTAGGTAAGTCGAAGAGGGAGCACGCTGATGTAGGGCGTCACGCGGGCAAGGACGAGTCCGACGGGAAGATGAAGCAGCGCGATCCGGAGAGAGAGAAGAGGAGACTGGCAAGAAAGAAGGAAAAGCGCGCTACGATGATACTGGGTTTCATAATGGGCAGCTTTATCGCTTGTTGGTTGCCCTTCTTTGTTCTTTACATCGTCAAGCCAATCTTTCCTGATTTCGAAATACCTTCGCAAGCCTTCGTAATCGCTTTCTGGCTCGGCTACACCAACTCGGCGTTGAATCCCTTCATTTACACAGTCTTCAATAAGGATTTCCGCCGTGCTTTCCGCCGAATATTGTTTAAGTGAGCAATACGATATATATGTCAGTGTCGACCAAGAGGGACGCTAACGATAATTATAATTATATTTTCCGTCCTCGGGGGTATGAGAGAATAGTACTCCGATAGTACTCCGAGGATGTTTTCTCGATCGCATCGCGCAACATCCGATCTGCTTCCTCGAGCTATCCTCGAGAGAAACTTTAATCATAAGAGAAAGGTGAAATTTTACAATGCCGCGGAAACATTTGCGAAAGATGGAATCGGAAATGCGGAGGAGTTTACGACAAGGCGAGAAGTTTGCGTTTCAGATCGAAAAAAGTTTTCCCGCTGATTTTTTCGGAATACAAAGCGAGCACTGAAAACTGCAGAATCGCACGTGTGAAGAATACGAATCGAGAAGAGACAGCACACGTCTCTGAATTCGTATATTCCTTCGGAATTGTTGTTATCTTCCAAAAAAAATTGACTTTTTTTGCGACCGTCAAATCAACGTGCAACTTTACCTCTTTACAAAAAAACGCGAGATACGTCGCATTGTAACTCGTATTTTGGATACGCGAGATCCATAACTGATTAGAAAAGAGCTTTTTTTTTTTTTTTTTTTCATAAACGTCAAAACTCAAGAAAATATTTCTTTCTGCGTTATCAAATGGTAAAACGAGAGTATGAAAAATCTGATCGAGATACAGCGTGTTTTCAATCACTAGGAGGATCCATTAAACAAGTCCCTTAACGAGCAGAGAATCGAATTCCACTACTTTTACTCTCACACGGACTTTGTACATGCTGCATGCGACGAGATCAACGAAAAATCCACTATTCGCTTGGCTGGCCAAGGGAATATAATCCGCTAAGCGCACGGATTGTTTACTCTCGAACTTATGACATACCTTACAAAGCGAACCGCTTCGGAGACCAAGAGGCAGCATATCGCTCCTTCCTCCATCCTCCGCGCGTTCTTTTTTTTTTTTTTTTTTTTACTGGCCATGCTTCCACCACAAAAGAATTATAGAGGATAGCAGGCGAAACATGTTAGCTATGGATGGAGGACTGTTATTTCCGTGCCTAATCTCATGTCACGTTTATGAAAGGCATGACAATTCAAATTTGCGTACGTATATGCAACGCAGCATGCACATGTTTGTGTAGATTACCCTCAGTTTCATCGTGGAAAAATAAACGAACGAGTTGCAAACTTCATAGCACGCTATCTGAGGACGACGCTATCTGAGGCCAGCTATCGCTGCGAGCAAGGGACGCACAATCGCACAGAATGTAAAATTGAAGAGAGTGTTCAATTGTATGCATATTTATACGCGTTGCGTGCACGATCGCGATAAAAGGTACGCGATCGAAGGAGGAAGGTATATTCCTACGAACACCGTGACTTATCGGTTACGTCAACACCAACCAACGTTGAAGATCATCGGCAGATCTACTGACAAATAAATCGCGAAAACGCGAGACAGTATATGATATACGTTTCCTACTTAATTAGATTTTCGCGCGTCGCGGGCTCGAGACAGCCCCCTTAAACGTCCGACGTTCCAATCGTGAATCTCCGATGTTACTTTTAACGGAAGGATCACGCATGTATAGAATTTAATAATTCTGTCACGTACGTGTAGGGTATATGGATGCGTGCTGGTGTGCGGCGTACGTACGTAGTGTATTCATGTAGTTTTCTTTCGTACGAAAGCAAATGTAAGAAACACAGAAGTTCTATTTTACACAAACAGGTTCCTCTATTATAGCCTAACTGTACAGCAATAATAATCAATCTTTCGTTCGTTGAAAACGATTAAACGAGATATCGCGAAAGAGTAAATCGGCATAAAAACGATTAATCGCATCGTTGTGTTCTCCATCGCGCATTGTCCGTACGTACGTATATGTGAGGTATGTACGTATGTATGCACATGTGAACGTGGCAGCGTACGACACGCTGTCCAAGCTCGATGAATAATCATTTTACATCGCAGGGTCCAAAATTAATCGCAAATCTAGATAAAAATAAAAGAATCATATATATATATATATA